AGTCTGCTTTGCTTTTTCTTTATTTTCAGTCAGTCTTTCATATATTCATCATCGGCCCTTAAGTATCAGTTGATTGGGGGGGGGGGGGTGTGCTTTAAAACATTCAATTAGCGAGATGTGCACGACCAAAGTAATGTTATAGGTCATATCTCTAGATGCACTCAACTTTATCTGACGCACAAATTCATAAGGAGCACGCGCCACTAAGAGCAGAGCGAGCGTGGAACATGTGAATTAAGTAGGAGAAGTTGTAAAGTACTAATTAATGGGCCTGTTTCATTTGAAAAGCTGGGATCAATAGAAAATGATCTCAAGAACCTCTCACGTGCATAGTAAAAAAAACAATAAGCATTGTCATTGCCTTTGAATCTTACAAAACCACCCTTGATTAGCATGAGATTTCCCTTTTTTATATTGTTGGTTGGACGCCTTTAGGAAATCCTGCCAATTTGATTTGAACTCAAAGAACGACTCACGACCCCCAACTGTTTGGAAGACTTTCGCTTTATGTATTCTGAAAGGAAATGCAAAAACACTCTCGCAGTTGAGTGCAGCAAAAGGGTTTTCATCGCAGAGAAAATTCGTTTCACAACTGCGAATGTCAGATGAAGATGACAGATCTACTGATTAGCTGAGGTGCATCCTAAGGAGGGCGAATGAGATTTGAGAAGCCAGGGCACCGTCACTGAGAGCAAAGTGCCAGCGGAGTTCACTGCGCTAAGCTTATCCTTTGTTGTCCTGATGATTGGATCTAGCATCCTTTAGCCGACAGCGCCATGATTCAGTTTTCTGGTGATCATGTTATATTGGGTTGTTTCATGATTCCTGTCTCACTTCTATTCAAATTCATTTTTGTTGTGAGACCGTTTCATTGCGAAATACGTTGACATGTTGAAGTGTGCTTCAAGAGCCTCAACTAGGTAGTTTCAGAAGAGCAAGCCCATAGCGGGTTAATTTGACTAAGAATTAAAAATAACGTTAGTGACAATAATGAATGATTATGCTTTACAATCCACACCACTGAAACTCTATTCGCACAGGAGGACAGCAGAGGAAGATGACGCTATGTTTTTCTAGCTGCTACTGATAGGGTACTGAGCTAGTAGTCCAATCGCAACGGCAAAGGCGAAACGATTTGTAAAAGTCAACCTCATGCTGGGCCTGCGGTCACTTTTGATGAATGCTCCTTGTACCGTAAATTGGGAGTGTATCCGGACGTTGCTACCAGGGTATGTAGCAGATACCTGGGCGCAGCCGATGCACCAGCACACGCCATCAGTATGGCAACTGCTGCAGAATGAAGTTTTGATGGAAACCTTATGGTCCGGCCGACCATGAGCGAGGAAGCACGCCTGACCATCTGGGGAAAATTCCATTCTGGGACGGCAAAAGCAGAGCCTTCCCTAATCGGTCACCAGTGGAGATGAGTCATGAGTCCACTGCGACAACAACACGCGGCACGTCTGATGGCTGCCTCGCAGCCAGGAAGCACCAGCTCAACCAAAGCCCGAACTCCGTTTTCTGAGAATATCGCTCTCGTTTGTTGGATTCGCTAGGTGGCCTGGTTTGGGAACCACTTCAATGTATGAAGACAAGCATTGCTAAAGTCAGCGTGGAATAGCCCTCTAGGCTGGCTTCGGTATTGCGAGGGAATCGTCAGAAACGTCTCAGATCTCCTTTCTCCAAATGTACCCAGACCTCACATTGCAATGCCAACTCACCACGTTCTGAGGGAGATAGCCAGGGCCACGATACCTCATCCACCATATAGCATTGGCATCGCTCTATCGGACTATCGCCTCCCCTGCGCCTGAATAAGCATCTGCCAGAGAAGAAAGTTAAAGATTGCGACCACCCCAAAAACGACTTCTCCAAATTCTTCAACCCCCAGCTTCCTTCATTCTGGGCTGGAAGCTTCCAAACGCTCACTAGCAAATGCACGCATATCAGTGACCATGATGGTGGTTATGCTATTGATCAGTTGTTTCCTAGAAGAGATAAAACTTGAATAAACAAAAGTGTCGAAATTGAGACAGGAATTATGAGACAATAATCAATGATCGCATTTCCCCTGACGATAAGACCTGATTCTGATGGTTTGGATTTGGTATACATCGCATCAATAATTATAACGATACAATTACGCATACACAGTCACACGAAGTTTGCAAACCCTACATTCAAAGGGATAAAGCATACACCGCTTGAATTTGAAAAATTCCTTTCTCGGATGCGTCCACGCATTTAGTTGCATTCCGAGTCGTAGTGGCGCTTGAATGTGATTTGGCCTGTACACCTACTACTTGATGGGAAAAGGGGGCGTGCGCAGCAGTACTCGGTCGGGGATGGGTCCTCGGATTATTCTTCGCTTCTACTCCGTGAATGACCCATCATACACAATCAAGAATAGGGGTATGCGCCCAGAAATGCAGTTTTTGGGACCCAACCTCCGCTACTGGGCTCGGTTGTTTGGTGTTTTTGTCCTCCTTGATAGACCTGGTACCATTTAGCAGAATCGTACGAGTGGACTAAGCAAGACTCACATGGAGAATTTGACCCGAAGACCGTGCCCGTGGGAACGCGCCACCTTTTCCACTAAGTAACTTGCAATATATTTATCAATACAACAATATGTAGGGCCGGTAAGCAGAGAACTAAATGGGTGAATCACTAAGTCAAGCTGAGTCCTACTTGTTTGCCAACAAACCAGCGCTAAATGCAATTATGTTTCCGCCAATCAACCCAAACTCTTCCAAAAGCGGCCGTGGTATGACCATCATTGAGCATGAAATATAGCGTGACCTAACTCGGGTAAACAAGGACTAGAGCAAAAGATCAGCGAAGTAACCCACAGAGATGGATACTGTGGGATTTTTTTTGAAATCTCTTTGTTCATGCATCTTTCGTAGAGTCAACTCTGTATTGTCACTGCTGAGCGACTACATCACGATAGTAGAGCAAAAGAATGGTTACTTTGTGAACATAGTAAAACTGGGACTCGGTTCAAATTCGCTCCGTACATCTGCCACAAGTGTTGGCGGCGGGAATATTCCGCTTGGTTCTCAGAGCTGCCTTAACTATTAGTAAAACCTTTTTTTCCCGTTTTTGCTTTCTTTTTCTGTTTATGCTTATTTATTTATTAGATTTATATTTATTTATTCAATTATTTATTTGTAACCATATTTCCCTTGCCACGAGTTCAGTCAAGAAGGCGTGTTTCAGTACATTTCTTGTGTGCTAAAACTGAAAGTGCGCTCTGCAAAGTGAATAAATAAATAGAAGTTCTCCGGTACTGCTTCCGTAATTTATGTCGATTTTCAATCGTTTCGTTCACAAGATAAATGCCTCTTTGTCAGTTGCTTTATCAAAGAACAAAACACACCGTGAGACCCTGGAAATACGTCATTGAAATTGTCTGATTTTCGTTTTGATCACAGGAAAAATAGTTCATTAACTATAACTAAAAATAGTCGTCTAATTAATACTTGAAAATAATTCGAAACAACATGAGAAGATTTTCTTTACTCAAATGTGTGCACTTGGGAGAGGCATTCGGTGCAAAGTACCCGGATCACCTGAAACTTTTAGGTTTGGCGCATAGCTTCACCCATTCAGGGAGCTTGCTTACATGCAAGGAAATTAGTAAACTATTATGTAGGCTTTACGAGCCGTTGATTAGATGCCCTGCATCGGCAGTAGTGCATTTTCGTTTCCTTTCCTGACAATATCCAGATGCTTATTGTTGGATGCTCTTTGAGCGTAAGATGTGTACTCCTAAATAGTTTAGTAAAGTGGGATTGAGCTCACTATGTTCAATCGACAGTACTTAAAACTTCTTACAGACCTGTTACCTTATGTGGTTTATGTGTTTGGCGGCTCTACCGCATAAGGCTAATTGGGGCTTGAGGCTAATTCTAGCATTCTGAACAACTTTCAGAAACATTCCTGTTTATATCAGTAGGGATATTTCTTCAAGTCTTTCAAGATTAAACTTTTTATTGGCCTTTGAAGAAATAGATTTGAGATTGAAGAAATATCCCGAATCCCGAGGAATGCAGATGCGAAAGATGGTTGAACGCGGGCTATTCCTACATCTCTCCAGACTCATTCATTATTGGTTGACATCGCACTAATTAAATATTAGGTTTAGCAAAAATCATCCTCCGTTTTTTTTTTGTTCAGGCTCATGGTTCTTTGATTTTTTGCTGTGATTATTTTCGGAAGGTTATGAAGTAGTCTGAAAGTGCTCGACTCTTGTACCTTCTGATGTACAACACTTGAGTTTACAGGTAGCGGTTCAAAAGGGTGTTCACGAAGTGGACTTATGCGTTATATGTGTTTTGCCCAAGAAAGTTGTTAAGGGAGAATGAGAAATTTTCTTTTCGAGTCGTTGATCCTAGAACTCAGAGATTCAAGAGAGTTGAAGAGTTGGAAAAAACAAAGCACAAAGAAATCGTTTCGAGTGGAGATTTTGACCGAACTCCGTACTTCACTATGGAGCTTACACTAGGAAAAAATTGCCCCTGCTACATGAGTGCAAGTTGAGCTCGGAAACCGAATGCTTCTGCATCTGCTCGTAGAATCAATGAAGCCTGGAATGAAGGCACGTTGCAGAGAGGACTGTTCGAGAGCGTTTGTTGATTACGCATTTATTGTTGTTTTTGTTTGGTTTTGTTAATAAACTTATGAGTGAAATGGAAACGGCGGATAATTTTTGTTCAAGGGTATTTTAGTAAGGTGGCTTCATGATGCAGATCTCGACAACTAGTGGACTTGGAACATTCAAGCCTTGCCACACGAATGAAAGTGACTGCACTCACCCACACTCACGAGACTGGTCTCATCCCCTGGCTCGCAGTTACCTTGGCTTTCTGGAAAAACTGCATCGTGATGCCCCCCTCCTAACTGGAATAGACGTGCTCAGCCTTACACATCCTACAAAATTTTGAATGTCCGTGTTTGAATTTTGACCGCTGAAATTTTCACAGCTCATCTCTGTCATGAGGCGTTTTATTAGGGGTGGATATGAAGATTTCAGCGCACCTCTCAACACTATTGGAGAGGCGTGGCCGTCAGCAGCGTCGCCATATGGACTACCTCCTCGTGTATGCGGTGGCCGAATTGCTTAGCTTTTCTGGAAAAAAGGTCATGATGCCCCCCGTTAATTGAATAGACCGATCAACCGCATATACTTCAGTTTCGAAATATGAATGTCCGTGTTCTGAATCTTTGACCTGCTGAATTTCACAAGTTCATCTCTTGCATGAGCGGCTTTATATAGAGGGGATATGAGATTTCAGACCGCACCCTCCACTCAGCACTACGTGGAGAAGGGTGGCCGTCAGCAGCGTCGCATATGGACTACTCCTCGTCTATATGCGGTGGCCGAATTGCTGCTTTCTATTCACATTTCGCTTTCAAATTTCGTCGTCCTATACGTGTACGTTAGAAAGAAGTACGTGCGAACTGTCACAAATTCCTATATCTTCTCACTAGCGCTGACGGATTTTTTAGCAGGTAAGTCGCGGTTACACGTCGTTTCTGCCATCCTCTAAACTTAGGCTTATTACAGGAAGTGTAGGCATTCCGATTACGGTCATTTCGGTGATGACCCGACGACCACATTCCTTCTATGGATGTCTGTTTGTACATCTGATTCTCTGTATTCTCTGCACTATTTCAACATTTCATATGCTGGCAATTGCTGTGGACAAATATGTGACGATATGCTGCCGAGATCGCCTTTTTCGTTCAAGGTAAACACTTCGGTCGTGTCTTTTTGTGTGCTTTTGAGGAGAGCTTGGAATGAACCATCGAAGGTGTTTGAGGTTTTTTGCACAGGCACGCCTCAGAATTAGATTATATTTCTATCTCTGAAACTGGAAACTCGTGCGAAGAACATCCAGAGAATCCAACTCACTAGGAGAACTCACGCCGTTTTTCACTGAAACCCGAGCTCTTCGCGAGTGAAACTCGCTGTGCTTTGCAAATATGAGACTAATGAAACAAATCCTCCGCCGTCGTTCTCTGACCGATTCGGCACTTCAAATGCGTCGGCGTAGCGTCGAAAGCGACATGGACGCTTTTTTGAACACATTTTTCTGGAAATACTGATGAAGCTTGAGCGACTGCAATGCGAGACCGTTCCAATGAATTAATGAGGGCCCGCCAAGTTGATGTTTGATCAGTCGGTATTTTTAGAAATGGATTATCTCATTTAACAAGGTTCGGGTGCTCAGCCGAATAGCGGTTCTCTTAGCTCTGATTGAAAATAGCCAGACTTCAGCTGAGAGTGTCTGTCAGGAACGTGGTCTGTTAGCCTATAAAGTAAAGTCCCTGGAGCAACTGAGCAATTAGGAATCATCAGCAAGTGGTACTCATTGTCGCGGCTCGTTATAGGTAAAGAGTGATGAAGTAATATGTACGAGAGTCGTTTTGGAAATGCTGCGCACAAAAGCAAAGTAGTGAACTTGCTGAGGACCCGATCCCACGAACCCTTGCCAGAGAGCCCGCATTGCTTCCACTGCACTTTTCGGCTTCATATCTGCAAAAGTCAGAGAAGTGTTCAACAGGTTTCGAAGGCAGATTCAAAATAAGCGTGTCAAAATGAATATTACGGTACACATTTCACCTTGAATGGCCGTGGCGAACCTGAAGGGATTCCCTTGTGAAAACTCGCTCTTTTTTGCTGGCTCACTGAACCTTAGTTTTGATTTTGAACCTATTTATATAAGGTATACGAAATCCACACTGGAGTACAGCATTAGTCCACAAGAGGCATGATTGCTTTCTTTCCACATCTGCAGCTTCTACAAACCTTCTTCTAGCCTCTTAAGCCTCTTAAGTGTAGGATAAATACCGGATTAAAGAACCTCAGTGAACATTGAGCAAGGAAAGTGCTCCATTAAGCACGAGTGGCTGAACATGGCACCTCTCCTGAAATGTCCCTCCTCTGCATCGCGCTGAAAATCCTTCTACGGCGCCATTAAGCGTTCCACAGAGAAAGTCGCAGTAACACAAGTAATTCCGTACACCTGACAAATGGTTATTTGAAACTCGTTGGTTGCGTTTCTAACTAAAGTCAGTAATTCGTTGACAGGGCGTCCTACCACAGTGAACGGAGGTTAATGGACGTTTATGCCCTATATCCGAATTCACCTACGCTCAATGAAGCCTTTCCTTTCCGCTTCCGATCGGACCAATTCTTGGTAACCAGCGAGGGGATAGCAGGAATGTATTACATGTGCAGTCGGCTGCCTTGCAGAGCATTTGTCTTCAGGACAGCAGGTATGTAGGCGCCAGCTACGATTTTGCTAATAATTAGCTCGCAAATGCGTGGGTGCATCCTAGAAAGAGAGAACAACGCCGAGAAATTTACCATTCCATGCTTTAAGCGTAAAGTTAATTGATTCCGTGGATGAGTGAATACGCTGCCCACTACTTGTTTTGTTTGTTGACTGCTGTTTTTTGACGCCCAGTTCGCGTTGCGAATGTTCCACAAGAATGCTGGGTTATCAAAAAAACTTTCAAAAAAGAAAGCTGAGTTATTGAAAGGGTGGCCCGGTAGCGGTACTCGCAGCGCACTTGCCTAGTAAACAAGACGCTTGGGTTTTTTTTCATTTTTATTTTCATGACCCAGCATTCTTGTAAAGCATCGCCCAAGCTATGCGTCGAAATTCAGCTGCAGCATGCAATAATTGTTTGGTATTGCGGAAAAATGTTTGATCACGACTCCGTGCAGCGGGCTTCAACTCGTCCTAATTCAGGCTTCAAGAAAAACGGGCTATACTCACCCGAAGAACGGACCGTAGTTGGTCTGCGACTCACGACCTTTAGCACCACAGATTCCCTCAGCAGCATCTTCTGTAATTTCCAAAAGCGCATCAAAAAGCCAGTGTTATTGCCATCGTCGGCATCTGGCATGGCGAGGGAATAGGATTTAAAAAAGGGTTGCCACGTAATCGAATAGTCCTTCGTGGTAATTTCAGAGGAATTTTCCGATAGATCCCATGAATGTATTCCTGCTATCTCATAGAAAGAAATGAGTTGGAAAAAACGCAAATCTTGTGCACGTTTCTCACAATTTTTTTCACGGGGATTTCACGAGAGCTTTTTCCTAAATCTTTATAGTTCATGTATTATTTTTATTCGAAACTAACAAAATTGCAAGACCTCAATTAGGCTGCTTGCTTCCAATCTCTTCGCAAATGACGATTTGGTGGTGAGCTAAATTTGAGGGATCGGTAAATAATTCGAACATTACCTCACCTTGACTTGAGGTCCTTCGATTTCGGCTTCTGATGTTGTTTTGTTGGAATTTTCCAGCCACGAAAATTTCATGCTTCCGCAGAAAATCGTTGCCTTTATGTTTTGTTTTGAAATTGCCTACACCAACAGCGAAATCCATTGCCATTACATTTGCAGAGGATTTGGAAGTTTGAACGCATACCCCAGGATCCAAATGGTGTGTTTTCTTGCACACGAATACGAATGTATTGGTGCAGAATGGCCGGCAGTAAAGAAAAAAGGAAAAGAATCCGTCGAAAACGCTTAGGTTGAGGGCTCACTCACCTTCCTAATCGGCTGTGCTAAGGGAAATGAGAGACTAAGCGCGGAGAGGAGAGTATGAGGCGAGAGAGCAAAACAGACGAGAGGGCGCGGAGCTTTGCAGCTGCTGCAGCTAACTTTGAAAGGCCATAGCGCCCTTGTCAGGCGATTTCCATGCACGGAAGACCACATTTGTGATTCTCCTTATGATTCTATCCTACAGCCCGGATTATTTTAGTGACCTGGCTTCAGATTGTGGATTGTACCTTCAATGCTAACATGTTCTAGAAAACTTTTGACTGCTTTTCTATGTAATCAACCCTGAAGCTTTTTGTACATGGAACTGCTGACTTTTGCCTGGGTTGTGCCTTTGTCGTCTATCAAAAATCGAAAAAGAGGAGCTGCTTCTAAGCAACTAGCTTTTATATTTATATTTATAATAAATTGAAGACTCGCAAATTTTTACTATTCATTTTATTTTAACGGTTTTCAACAATTTTGGTGACGATCGTTCGCGATGAGAAGGCTCGCTTTTGTAAACAAATTAGACTAATTGGTGCTGGAATCCCACGACACTCGCACTTGGATGTTGAATGCCTGGTCAGAAGTTTTGGTGAGGGACAACCAGCAGGTGCCATTACTCCAGCGGTGCTCTCCGAATCACCATAAGGGTTATGGGAACGGAGTGTAAGAAAACATTAGTCAAGGGTTTAAGCGACATCTCTGGCGATTTGACTTGTAGTTATCGGGACAATGTAAGACTGAAAGAGCTTTCAATGTTAGGTATTGGGGAACCCTCTCGAAACCAGTGACCAAGAATCTCTTGAATTCCACCAGAGCCGACTTAGGTTGATTACAGTTCTTGATAGAGGCACACGAATATTATTACTCCAAATAACATTAGCAGCCTAAGGTTACGGAATTCCACAGGGGTGGTCGGTACACCTCTCCGTTTCTTATTATCAACTCAATTGTCAGTTATTAATCATACCCTAACTAGTTTATGTGAATCTGTTCCCAGTGGTGCAACATAACCGCGAACGCTACACCTGCTTTCAGACGAAGTAAATAATTATATGAACTTGTCATACTTGAAATGAGCCACAATCAGGTTACTCGTTCTATAGTAAACATCAAGAATGAGCAGTAATGGTCCACAGTGATCAGTGGAGGTGTTTGCCATGCGAATATGTAGTACGAAGATAGTCCGGCTCACTTTGAAACATTGGGCTCTTCCAGCTCAGCGGCCTGTGAAGGAACCCCGGCTTCAATAAATCGCTAAGCATCGATAAACTCAACTCTCTTGTACTTTCTACACTTTTGCCTCTGAGTGCCGATTGTCAACTAAGTTAGCGCAATGGTTCAGAAAAACCAATTATGTTACCTTCGCCAGAATTGGATTAGTAAAATGTTTGACAAGAGATTTATCGGAGCGCGGCACTTCTTATTTTCACTGGAACTCAAGCGACTTCATGAATAGACGTCGAGTTTTGGCAAACACCCGCAACACTTGCTGTTGTTTCTATCAGCATCCCTTTTCTACGTACGAGTATTCCAGTCCGACCAGTCAGTCTGGTAGGGGGAGGGGAGGGGCGGTTGGCCAAAGCGAGTACTGAGCCGCTGACCGCAGGTCAAGTGAACGCCGAATTTGCAATGTGTTTCCCTTTAAAACCGTTAGAGAAAGGATGAAACAAATGTGTGGCATGACAGCCGTCTTAAGAAAAACATCCTCTCTGGTGGAACAAAGCAACGTAAGATCTATTAGTACGTACTGAAGGGGACGAGGCGTGGGGGGAGGGAGAGAGTGCCATTTAGTGCAATAATTCATGCCTCTCACAGTCATCGAAATTTTTGCACGGTGGAAACCTTTGTTTGGGTGAGAAATCGAAAGCGAGATGGTTCACGCACCATGAGCTTCTCCCTGTAAAAATTAGGATTACTGTAGGCGATGCAAACTATTGAGCCAAAACCTCCCATCGGCATGAAGATTCCCGCCGCTGGTATACTTACAGCTGGCCTTGGCCGTGCACCCATTTTTGAAGAAGTCTTGAGCATTAAATCAAATTCTTCAATTGAGTGATTTCCTGAACATCCTTAACAATCAATAAGAAAGTTACGTAACCACTTGTGATGGTTGATGATTGGCCAAATGCTCTACTATCACATGGCTCATTCGTATCTTTGCAATAAGGAACCCCTCATCAGAACTTCTATAGGCATCCGTGGTTGTTTGATCTGGTCGACGAGAAGATGGATAGCATCCCTGGAATGAATACGGTAATTCCCGCAAATAGAAGTTTGGCGCGATAACGCTGCGACTAATATTGCAATAAATAAGGCTCTCATCGCTTCAAATTTATCAGAATCTTTGCTCTTCTGAAGCCGAAAGAGTCGCTAAGAAGGATAGGTAGTAAACCCGTAAATTATACTGGAATTAAGGGGTTATCTAGGATCCAATTCGACAATTCACGGCAATTTATATGAGCAGATAAATAGAACTAATTCGATGAGAAGCCCTTCTGGGGACCTTTCCAGTACCGTTACTAGAATATTTGCTCCCTTTCCTACGATCCACCCACAACGATTGAAATGTACGCGAATGCGCGCATCTACTATTTCCTTCTTACGGGCTTGGCCACAGGCGGTCAGTGCGAATCGAGGTCGGCCCGCAACCTCACACCCAGTCAGCTCGCCTCCAACTAAGGTTGGCGAAAGCAATTTTCATGCGGTCGGAGCACTAATATTTCACTGTGCTACGTTCACGTTCTTGTAGTCGATCCAGGAGTTTAGCAAATCGAGAAATCATTATCAACGAGCGTGGTTTTTACTGGTAAATCCTCATCCTTTTTGGGCTTGTGTAAGCTTGATCTGGGAGAATTATAGCTCCAGAGGCAATCATTGAAGCATAGTTCTGTGTAACCTTCACGAATAGATCTTGAAAGTTGACTGTGCGACAGCCAAGAAACAAAGAAGCAAATTTTCTCGAAGGTAAAAATAATCTTCAAAAAAATTTGCGGAAGCTTTCTCCTTTATGGGATGTTTTTTTTACGAAATAAATGCTAGAGCCGGATTCAAAGGCACTGAAGATGCCATATTTTCCTAGAGTTAAAGTCGGAGGTGAATCGAAAACTCTACTTGGTTGACGAATTTCGGTTGAGCAGAGCAATCCACGGAGAGGTCAGAGCACTACGTTTGTCCACGATGAAATCTCCAGAAAGGAGGACAAATCCGAGTCTCCCAAAATGCAACTGTTACTATGTGGTCAGAGATTTTGATGATTCCAGGCGTACACGAGCTGTATTTTTGATTGCGGTGTCATGGATAGCAGGAACGGCCGTCGCCACGCTTCCTCTCTTCAATGCTTTCGGCTTTGCTGAGTAAGTGTTTTCGATTCGTATTTACGGACGTTTTAAAATACATTTTGTGAAATCACATATTCACGAAAATCCAAATAATTTCAAACAAAAACAACGATAATTATTCTTCCATATGAATCAAACTAAATCATCATTTCCTATGACTTTTGACCATCGCTCTGCAAGTTTCGGATTCTCACGATGCAACATTTTTCGGTCTTTAACCGAAATCTTCTGGCAACCTTCTTCAACTTCACGCCACCATTTGACATGGCGGGGGGAGGAGGCGGGAGGAAGGGTGAATTAAAATATGTTGCGATCTTGGGAAATTATCAAGGGAATACCCGGTGATAATCCCATGATTTCAGAATTGATGGTACCAGGCAAAAAGAAACAAAATTTAAAAAATTCGCACTTTTTGTGGGTTTGGAGAATTTTTTTCCTTCAAGCAGATAATACGGCAAATGTGGCACCACCCCAGCTCAATTCATTACTGTTGAGCATTTCCATATTCATCTGGCCACTCACTACGGTGTGATTCTGTCGCGAGGATTGTTGTGGAAGCTTTATTATGGCTAACGCTTTCGTCCTCAACGTGTTTGCAAAGGCCTCAGGTTCCACTGCTGAGTCTACGGCTACGCTCATGTGATA